TCCATCTCAAAAAAAAGAAAAAGAAAAAAAAAGGAAAAATGTGACCCTGCTCTTTCTTTTCCCAGAAAAAGAGCTTCCACCAGTTTGTTCAGTGCTCCTCACATGATATAGTTTCTGTCCATCCGGTTGTCTCCTCTGGTCATATTCCTGTTTATCATTGTTTCTCTTAAACTGTAATTCCTAGAAAAGAACAAAGTACCCCTAGGTGCTGTCTGATGAGTTCAAATAGAATTGGATAAACACTCCTCCAATTCTGTCAAGACAGCCAAAGGGCAAATACTTTTTTTTTTAGCTACCACATCCCGTTGTTGACTCACATTGAGCTCAAGGTCAAGGAGAAGGGTTGTGTTTGAGCAGAAATTTAGGATGTTTAAATGACAGAACAGGTCATCACAGGACACTAACTTTGATGCCTTTGGTGAATGGTACTTGTCCAAAGGATATGTATATGAAAAGTGGTTGATTGGGACCCCACTGGGGAATACTATATTTGCTTCCTTTTCATTGTGAAAAGGCACTAAATAAACCATTAGTCAATATTACATATCTCTTTAATGTAAAATTATGAAATCCATTTTAAGGAAATAATTCAGGGTCTGCAATTACTGTCTAGACACATTATCTGCTAGGAAAACCTGTTGGAGATTATTTGCTTTGCATTGCAATGACGTAAAGTTCAATGCAGATGTTGCTTAAAGTGAATGCTGCCCAGGCAGGGTGGCTCACGCCTATAATCCCAGCACTTTGGGAGGATCACTTGAGGTCAGAAGTCTGAGATCAGACTGGCCAACATGGTGAAACCTCATCTCCACAAAAAATACAAAAATTAGCCAGGAGTGATGGCAGGTGCCTTTAATCCCAGTTACTCAGGAGGCTAAGGTAGGAGGATACCTTGAGTCCAGGAGTTTGAGGTTGCAGATAGCTATGATCATGCCCCTACACTCCAACATTGGAGACAGAAACCCTGCCTCTAAAAAAATAATGATAATAATAACAATAGTAATAGAATGAAAGAAAGAAAGAAAAGGGGAAAAAAATGCTTTGTCTGACTTTGCCTTATTAGAGAAAATCTGTGATGAGAACAAAAGATACAGGAAATTATTCTAAAAGTAGAATTTTTTAAACAAAATTTTCTTGTATCAAGTGGTTGTTTACTATGTTCCTTCCAAGTTCCTTGTCGGAAATGAACTGCCTATTAGGTATGATGGTGCATGCCTATAATCCCAGCTACTCCAGAGGCTTAAAGGGAAAATCTCTTGGGCCAGGAGTTCTAGTCCAGCCTGGGCAACATAGCAAGATCCCATCTCTATAGAAATAAAATAGAAAGATAAAAAGAAAAAATGCTTGTGTTATGTTTCCGTGAAGATATATTGTATTACTGGTATACATGTCAAGATATTTTGTAACTTTTCTTGAACTTGAATACCTGGAGATCTACTTGGCTTTTGAATTATCTAAAGTATTGAGACCATAGACAGTGCAGATATGTACCTACGTCTGTCCTTTCTATGACCCACCATTCTTAATGGCCTTTAGAAGATCACTTTCATTTCCCTCAAGTACAAGATCTTTGCTTCTGGGACAAGGTGGTTAATATCAACTATGAAAGAAAGATTAAGTAAATTAAAATGACTTACTATACAGCTATTAGTATATACTCTTTGTGTCCAGAAGCAATTTACAAAATTGTCAAGAGGTATCTGAAGTGATTCTTACCCTTTCATTTCTACCACTGGTTAGAGAATGGGTATGTGGAAAAGATGTCATAGGGCCGGGCATGGTGGCTCACACCTATAATCCCAGCACTTTGGGAGGCCAAGGCAGGAGGATCACGAGGTCAGGAGTTTGAGACTGGCCTGACCAACATGGAGAAACCCCGTCTCTACTAAAAATACAAAAAGTTAGCTGGGTGTGGTGTCACATGCCTGTAATCCCGGCTACTTGGGAGGCTGAGGCAGGAGAATCACTTGAACCCAGGAGCAGAAGGTTGTAGTGAGCCGAGATTGAGATGACATCAAAAAAAAAAAAAAGGAGGCTAAGAAAAGACCTCTCAAAATATGTTTTATATTTTAAGGTCATGTATTTTACCATTGAATCAGTATCTTTAACCTCTCTCCTTTTCTTCTTTCCCTCCCTGCACTCTTTCTCATGCATATGCTCACACTCACACACTTTGTCTTCTCTCTCTCTCTCTCTCTCTCTCTCTCTCTCTCTCTCTCTCTCTCTCTCTCTCTAAATGAGACAGAATCTTGTGCTGTCACCCAGGCTGGAATGCAGTGGTAGGATCTCTACTTACTGCAACCTCCATCTCCTAGGCTCAAGCAATTCTTGTGCCTCATTGTGCCTCAGCCTCCCAAGTAGCTGGGATTACAGGCATGCACCACCATGCCTGGATAATTGTTTGTATTTTTAGTGGAGGCAGGGTTTCACCATGTTGGCCAGGCTGGTCTCAAACTTTTGGCCTCAAGTAATCTGCCCACCAGGGCCTCCCAAAGTGCTGGGATTACAAGTGTGAGCCATTGCACCTAGCCTCTCTCTCTCTCTTTCTCAAGGAAAAAAGGCGAAAAGAAAAGGGAGTTTGGGCTATATGCACAAATGTTCTCTGTCTCTGCTTTCTAGTTATGCCAACTTAAATATGAAGAACTAGTTGGGAAGTGGAAGTTCTGTTTCTTCTAAAATTCTACAGCTGTTTTGGGCATTGCTGATGTTTATAAACTTCTCTCACAGATGTTACATTTTATGAACTGTGACTCATTAGGGTGGTTCTAGCATCTTTAGATGGACAGAAAGCCCCAAAGGCAGAATGATTACATAAGTCTTCTTCACTCGAAATCTGAAATATTTGAATAGAATATTTCCTGGGGGAAAAAAAGTATTAAGACTGCCATACTCAAACGAATCAGAAACACCAATGATTTCAGTTGGTTCTTTTCTGTGGGAGGAATGAAGGAGGTACAATATTCTTGTTTGGGAAGGTTTTGTTTTCATTTGCAGAATGTTTTTAATTTGTATAGGCTTTTTGGTTTGGACCTTGATCTACATTTTTGTTCCAATGTGTAAAAACCATTTACTGGAAGACATTGTTTGAATGTCCACTCTGCAAGGGACTGGATTTGGTGCTAAATTGAGGCATGGAGAATAATAAAAGAGCTAGAATATGCGGTGCTGCCATCTTTGAGCTTCTCAGTTAGGAAACACCAGGGGAGAATCATAAAGGTTTAGAATTAGATGTCACCTGTGCTTTCCACATGAGACATCTGGGGTCCCAATTGGGCCACTGACTATCCAAAGTCACACAGCTAGTGATAGTCAGAGCTACGTTTTAGAACCATCTCTCCTAAGTTCCAATGCTCTTTCAACACACAGGACTACATAATTTCCATGACTTAAACAGGATCAAGCCTGATGGCAGGTCAGAACTAGGATAAAGCAACTGAGGTAATTTTTTTTTTTTGAGATGGAGTCTTGGTCTGTTACCCAGGATGGAGTACAGTGGCGTGATCTCGGCTCACTGCAACATCCACCTCCCGGGTTCAGACAGTTCTCCTGCCTCAGCCTCCTGAGTAGCTGGGACTACAGGCATGTGCCACCATGCCCAGCTAATTTTTTGTATTTTTAGTAGAGACAGGGTTTCACTGTGTTAGCCAGGATGGTCTCCATCTACTGACCTTGTGATCTGCCCTCCTCAGTCTCCCAAAGTGTTGAGATTACAGGCGTGAGTCACCGAACTTGGCCCAAAATTTAACAGGGCACCAAAAGCCTCAGTAATTAAAATTAATGGAAAAAATCCATGATTAACAAAATATCAAAATTTTAAACAAAGACAAGGTCCTACTTTTCTCTTCCATGATCCAGCTTCACCTGTCTGACCCTAATCTCAGCCCTCCATCAGATAATCTGAACTTTTGGGTGGATCAAGGGGAAAAACAATATGGGAAATATCCCTTTGGCTGGAATCCCTGGATGTGCAGAGTGAGCTGTCCAGATGTTCGGAGACAGATCACAAACCTTTGTGCACAATTGTGTATTGAGAGAATAAAAAAGTGATGGCAGTTTTGAGGGTAAAACTATAAAAAGACAAAAAGAAAGACTGGGTTGAGCACAGTGGCTCACACCTGTAATCCCAGCACTTTGGGAGGCTGAGGTGGGAGGACCACTTGAGCCCAAGAGTTCTAGGCCAGCCTGGGCAACATAGCAAGATCCCATCTCTACAAATATTTTTTTAAATTGCAATGAAATTTTGCCGGGCACAGTGCCTCACACCTGTAATCCCAACACTTTGGGAGACTAAGGCAGGTGGATCACAAGGTCAGGAGTTCAAGACCATCCCAGCCAACATGGTGAAACCCCATCTCTACTAAAAATACAAAAAATTAGCTGGCATGGTGGCACATGCCTGTAGTCCCAGCTACTCAGGAGGCTGAGGCAGGAGAATCGCTTGATCCCAGGAGGCAAAGGTTGCAATGAGCCAAGATCACTTCACTACACTCTAGCCTGGTGACAGAGTGAGACTCTGTGTCAAAATATATATATATATATACACACATACATATAGACATATACACACACATATATCTATACATATATAATATACATACATATGTGTGTGTGTGTGTGTGTGTGTGTATTATATATACATTTGCATTTGTCTGGCTGTGGTAGCTCATGCCTATAATCCCAACACACTTTGGGAGGCTGGGAGGCTGAGGTGGGTGTATCACCTGAGGTCAGGAGTTCAAGACCAGCCTGGCAAACATGGTGAGACCCATTTCTACTAAAAATACAAAAAATAGCCTAGTCTGGTGGTGTGCACCTATAATCCCAGTTAGTAGGGAGGCTGAGGCAGGAGAATTGCTTGAACCCAGGAGGCAGAGGTTGCAGTGACCCAAGATCTTGCTGCTGTACTCCAGCCAGGGCGATGGAGCAAGACTCTGTCTAAAAAACAAACAAAAACAAGAATATGTATTTGCCTGAGTGTCTTCTCTTCATTTATTCCTCAGAATGCAGCTGCCAGAGGCTGAATAAGAGTTGGCAATTTGGTCTGGCAATTTGGTTCTCATAAAGTCATCTTGCAGTGACTTTAACAGCAGAGTCAGAACCAGCCCGAGGAACAGAACAGACCCTGGCAAGTGTGGACCTCTGACACATTACTAAAATATAGGTAGGATAAAAACTGAAATTAAACTGTTCTTATAAACTGGCTGTTCCACTGGTCCTGGAGGCGGAGGTGAGAAGAGGGGAGTGGTGAGGGAGAGTCTAAGAAAGAACTGAAGTCGCTTTCTTTTCCATGCATCATCAGCATTCTGGGCTTCCTCCTATCAAGTCACCCTCCTCTGCAGGGAAGAATGGTTTATTTTGTGTTTTGTTTTCTTTTTTCATCAGCCAAAGGTGCAGCTCTAGAAAAGGAACATAGAGTTATTCTCTAAATTCAGCATCACTCTCTCCTAGTTTAAGCACTATTTATTTATTTATATTTTATTTACTTATTTATTTACTTATTTTTTGAGATGCAGTCTTTTTCTGTCACCCAGGCTGAAGTGCAGAAGCATGATCTTGGCTCACTGCAACCTCCACCTCCAGGGTTCCAGCGATTCTCCTGCCTCAGCCTCCAAGTAGCTGGGCTTACAGGCATGCACCACCACACCCGGCTAATTTTTGTGTTTTTAGTAGAGACAGGGTTTCACTATGTTTTCCAAGCTCATCTCAAACTCTTGAGCTCAAGTGATCCACCCACCTCAGCCTCCTGAAGTTCTGGGATTACAGCTGTGAGCCACCGTGACTGGCCTGGTTTAAGCACTCCTGAAGAAGGATTCTTGTGCCTCAAATGCCTGGTGGTTAAGAACATAAGCATTTACCAATTTGGATAAGAATGCTAACCATGCCACTGAATAATTTTTGTTTTTGTTTTGTTTTGTTTTTTTGAGATGGAGTTTTGTTCTTGTTGCCCAGGCTGGAGTGCAGTGGCATGATCTCAGCTCACTGCAACCTCTGCCTCCTGGATTCAAGCAATTCCCTGCCTCAGCCTCCTGAGTAGCTGGGATTACGAACATGTGCCACCATGCCCAGCTAATTTTGTGTTTTTAGTAGAGACGGGATTTCTCCATGTTGGTCAGTCTGGTCTTGAACTCCTGACCTCAGGTGATCCACCTGCCTCGGCCTCCCAAAGTGCAAGCCACTGCTCCTGGCCTCTAAAGAGTTTTTGTAAATTCTTTAATTTTTTTTATCTTCAGCTTCCTAATCTGTAAATAGAGAATAAGAGCTCAAAAATGAGATCCATTATCATAGTCTTACCCTTGAAGGATGATGTGAAAAGCCCCCTTAGTGCATGAGTCAAGTGCCTTCTGGAGTGTCCCCAGCCAGCAGCATCCAGGCTGTGATCAAACGCCCTTACTGCCCACCCAAAGCAATCCACTCTGCTTGCTTGCTTTGTTGGTTGGTAGGCTTGTAACTTTCTTGATATTAAACAGATGTAAGTTCTTGTTTCTCCTAAGCCAAAATTTTCTTGATTATTATGCCAACATTTTTTCCCTAGCATCTTCAAGTATCTGAAGATAGTCATCAAACTCCTTAAGTCTTCCTTTCTCACTGGTTCCTTAAGAATTCCAATAAATACGTGATTTCAAGTCCCCTCCATCACCCTCCTGGGTTCTTTCTTCTGCACCACTTTTGTTTTCCAATGGTCTTCCCGATGTCTGTTTTGCAGAACTCAACAAACTGTTTCAAATATAGATTGACCATGAGAAAACAGAGTGTTGCCATTGCTAGCTTTGTTTTCATTACCATAAAATAATTTAAAATGTCTATGATGGCCCAGTGTGGTGTCTCATGCCTGTAATCCCAACACTTTGGGAGCCTGAGGCAGGTGGATCACTTGAGGCCAGGGGTTTAAGATCAGCCTGGCCAGCATGGCGAAACCCTTTCTCTACTAAAAATACAATAATTAGCTGGGCATGGCTACTCCAGAGTCTGAGGCATGAGAATTGCTTGGGCCTAGGAGGTGGAGGTTGCAGTGAGCCATATCATGCCATTGCACTCCAGCCTCGGTGACAGAGTGAAACACTGCCTCCAAACAAAACAAAACTAAAGACCACAACGAATGTCTTAAACCATCACAATAATGAATCTGGCACCCAGATTGTTTAGTTGTGATCATTGAGCAAATCTTTTCACCTGTGCTTTATCTTTCAGGTTTACATTTTATCTTCCACTCTTCTGTATCTCCTCCTAGGAGAAAAAAGAGGCAAAAATAATTTCAAGCATAATCTATATGAATGAGAGGAAGTTCTAGAATTGTCCTCTTCCCCCTCCTTTTGCTGCTGTGTTGAAACAGCATTACTGTTGCCACAGAAACAAATTTTTCTTCCCACTCGTTCACCAAGTTCACTTATTACCTCTTGGATGATAAACAGTATTGTTTTGTGAAGTGGCTGCAATCTCAATATATTCTGCCAGTTCCCTGATTAATGTTCCTTCCCCTTTAGGAAAAAGGCTTCTCTTTTTCTTAAGAGAGAAAGTATCTGGATGTAAATTAAGATAAGAATATGTTTGCCACCAATTCAGTTCCCACACTAAACCGGATATTCTCCTTGGACTTCTGTAAATGTCATTGACAATGTGTGATTGAGAACCAAAGCATCTTCAAAACACCAGACATCTTCAAAGCAGACACAGGAGTACAGATTTCCACCATGTCCCCTGGCTTCCTGACCTGCAGAGATTTCAGGTCATGGTTAAATATTCTTGCCTCAGACACAGTCATTTTCAGCCTTAAAAATTTTTTTAAACCATGAATATTATCTATGTATAAGAAGTTTTATAATCTGGAAGGTACCCTGCCATGATACTTGCTTCCAAAATTAGTTATTTGTTATGTTATGATATATAACATTGCCCAGAAGACACTAAAGAGGATTAAAGCTTCAGTTCTGTTTATATGGATGAACATATCAGCAACATAAACTAAACATTTCAGATCTCTAACAGTTGTCCAGTCATATACCCTACAAATGTAAAGTTACAGAAGTCCTGTGTCTTCAAGGTTTCCAAATTCAGTGCCTGTATTCTTCCTGATAAAAAAGTGACTTGTATACACAAAAATCTCTTTTTAAGAAAACACAGTTGGGGCCAGGCACGGTGGCTCACACATGTAACCCCAGCACTTTGGGAGGCTGAAGCGGGTAGATCATTTGAGGTCGGGAGTTTGAGATCAGCCTGACCAACATGATGAAACCCTGTCTCTACTAAAAATACAAAAGCTAACCAGGCATGGTAGTGCATGCCTGTAATCCCAATTACTCAGGAGGCCGAGGCAAGAGAATTTCTTGAACCCAGGAAGCGGAGGTTGCAGTGGGCCAAAATTACGTCATCACACTCCAGCGTGGGTGACAAAGCAAGCCTTTGTCAAGAAAGAAAGAAAAAGTGAGAGAGAAAGAAATATGAAGAGTGGGAGGGAGGGAGGGAGGAAAGATGGAAGGAAGGGAGGGAGGGAGGGAGGGAGGAAACAGTTTGTTCCTCTATATCTCTAGGTTCATAGATCAAAAATATTCAAAATAAGGAGGCTGAGGCAGGAGAATTGCCTGAACCCAGGGGGTGGAGGTTGTGGTGAGCCGAGATCGCGCCATTGCACTCCAGCCTGAATAACAAGAGTGAAACTCTGTCTCAAAAAAAAAAAAATATTCAGAATAAAAAAATCAATGGCTGTATCTGTACTAAACATGCCCAGACTTTTTTCTTATTGTTATTCCCTAAACAATACAACAGCTATTTTTATAGCATTTACATTGTACGAGATATTATAAGTAATCTAGAGAGGATTTAAAGTATATGGGATGATGTGCATAAGTTATATGCAGATACTGTACTGTTTTATTTCAGGGACTTGAGCATCCCTGCATTTTGGTATGCATGGCAGGTCCTGAAACCAATCTCCTATGGATTCAGAAGGATAACTGTACTAATTTTGAGATTTCTCTTTACTATGATCAAGACTTTCAAACATTACATTGTTGATTACATTATATTGTTACATTGTGATTCTTTCCCAGACTTGAGACAAAGTTTGGGAAGAAGTTGCCACTTGTTTCACTTTATGGAATAGAAAAAAAAAAATGGAAGAGCATGAGATAAAGACCTAGACTAAATCCTTTTAGAAAAGGTAAATAAAGAATTTTTGTTTTGTTGTGTTGTTGCTATTGTTGTTGTTTAAGAGACAGGGTTCTCACTATGGTCTTGAAGTCCTGACCTCAAGCAATTTATTCACCTCGGCCTTCCAAAATGCTAGGATTCCAGACATGAGCCACCATGTCCATCAAAATTAATACCTTTTTTGAAAAAAGAGAACTCCAGTCCCAGTGGCTCATGCTTGTAATCCCAGCACTTTGGGAGGCTGAGGTGGGCAAATTACTTGAACTCAGGAGTTCGAGACCAGCCTGGGCATCATAGTGAAACCCCGTCTCTACTAACAAATACAAAAATTGGCTGGGCATGGTGGTATGCGCCTGTAGTCCCAGCTACTCGGGAGGCTGAGGCAGGAGAATTGCTTGAACCCAGGAGGCGGAGGTTGCGGTGAGCCGACATCGTGCCATTACACTCCAGTCTGGGTAACAACAGCGAAACTCTCAAAAAAAAAAAAAAAAATCAGTTGGGTGTGGTGGTGTGTGCCTCTGTGGTCCCAGCTACTGTGGGGGGCTGAGGTGGGAGGATCGCTTGAGCCTTGGGAGGTCAAGGCTGCAGTTGAGCCAACATTACACCATTGCACTACAGCCTAAGTGACAGAGCCAGATCCTGTCTCAAAAAAAAAAAAAAAAAATTAAAAAAGGGAAGTAAGAGAGATATAGTGCTATACATTATCATATTTTCTCACCACTTTTAACCAGATATGGTGATAAACCATATGGCATTTTGGGGCTAGACACAGGGGTCCCCAACTCAGATGCCTTCAGAAGGCAGGCATGTAACGATGTGTGAACTCCATGCAGATTCAGTTGTTTTTTTTTAACATAAAGTTCACAAAGTAAAACATGTTTTTGGCCAGGCACAGTGGCTCACACCTGTAATTTCAGCACTTTGGGAGGCCAAGGCAAGTGGATCACAAGGTCAAGAGATCGAGATCATTTTGGCCAACATGGTGAAACCCTGTCTCTACTAAAATACAAA